TTTTGCCGGCTTCGGCCTGCCGACGCGATCGTGTCTGGTTTGCTTTCATATGATGACATTTTCCTGACAGAAGGGTGTCGGGAAAAACACCTCGCGCTGATCATACGTGACAAAATCCGCCGCGCCTAAGCTAATGAAGAAAAGTCTCCTGGAAGGCTCCATACAATTCCTTATAACAAAATTATAAGGAATTGTATGGAGCTCTCCGGGATACTTACAGTGCAAGCCCTGTGTGTCTTCTCATGTTTCTAAGGATTGCCACTTAAAAGTTAATGTATAATGCTTACCGGCCACGCTGGCTGTATCCAGGTTAACAACCAAGTCTACATTTCATTCAATTTATATCCGATGACTGAATGAAAAATTCATGGAATCTTCGTTACCGTGTTTTTGCAACATTGATTCTCGATAAAACGGAAGGGACAAATACTTGTCAAACTGAATAGCCAAGCATGAAAAAAACACTTCTGTTGATTAAAATTCATTTTCATCGTTGACTGATTTTTATCATCTTGCTGTGTTTTCGACTGCACTGTTGGTGCAACGATAAAAACTTCTTATTTAAAGCCTTTTCTAATCCTAAACGCATTCAAACTAACTGATTCAGCTGCTGCTTTTGAAAATGAGCAGTCGGGTCTCAGGCTTGATTCGGAGTGCTGTGCAGTGGCAAAAAAATCGCACAGCTTGAAATTCAAGGTAATTTTGAACGTTCTTTCTTTTTACTAAATCCGTTGCATAGAACTGAAACTGAGTTACTGAAAAAATAAAAAATTACTTAAGTCATTCTGGAAAAATAGGAAATTTCATTCCATGTGATATATTTCATTGTATTTATTGTGTAAGTATCTTCATCATTTGGAGATGATCCACGAAGCGTGGAAATAACATCCGCTCCTCAAAAAGGTCATTTTAAGTTCAGCATTGCATTTTGTAGTAGTTATGCAATGCAAAAACTTTTATCAAGAGTTCTTCAATCTCGAACTGATGGAAACTCGCCGTTTAGCTGCTTTTGAAATTGGTTTAGACTAATTCAGACGTTTTCTTTAGCAGACAATAGTTGACTTCCTCACCGGCATTTAGGCTCGAAAATCTATCCGACCCTACCCGGTATTGTATGAACACCGTATCCGAATCCGATATGTGACTCTCCACTCTAGAGATCGGCGCGGCGCAGCTTCACTCCGTTACAGAAATCCCGCCGAAATCACCGTTCTTATGTGTGAACAGAAGACCTATCCGGTATGTTTTGCGTGCCGGTGCAAAAGTTATTTGCTATAGTGTGAACATAATCTTAAGTTTTGCTGGTCTTTAAAGGAGCTGTACGTGTGCCTGTTTCACGAAATTTATAGTCTGTTCCAGCCGTTCAGATTGTAGGGACGGCGCAAAGAAAATGTGAGCAGGAAACTTGAAAAAGCGATGGGGTGGGGTAGAGAGGTACGCCTGGAAAAGGCTACGAAATTTATTAAAATTCAAACAGTAGAAACCCAGAAAACACAAAAAATAACCAATAGGCATGAAACATAAAGACCTATTTGTGCTACATGTAAATATGTTATTTATAAAACAAATTCTTAAGGTATCATCCAGGGTAAAAAATCATCATTTTTCTAAATTTGCATCTTTTAGACGATTAAACAGAGCTCATCAAGAGCTTTCTTTAAAAAAAAGTCCAGGAAAAATGTTTTTTCTGTGCAGTCTTATGGAGTGCAGAAGTTTTTTCTATGCTAATTATTTTAATTGATCGTTAATTAGTCCTGTCATAGTTGATACGCGTGCCGCTGTTGAACCACGCTAATCACGCAATTTGACAGAAATCTTGGTTTACAAGTACAGTCGACTCCCGATAACTCGAACCTTCAAGGGAAATCGAAAAAAGTTCGAGTTATCGGGAGTTCGAGTTATCGGGAGCTCAAAGAAAATAGCCGAGAGTAAGGTAAAAAATAGTTTTTACTGCACAGTGATTAATTGCAGAAAAGTCAAGTGAAAATTAAAGATACTTCTAGATTATAAATCAGAACGTAACGTAACAAAACATAGCCTACTGTTTTGAGAAGTAAAGCTGCTTCACGTTAACCTGTGACAATCAACATCAGCCTCCACTAGTTAACTATACTCCTACAAAACGTCAATAGGAAATCCAAAATTCAATGTTTCGGACGCGAGTAGACGGCTTTTTTCCCGACTTTTTAAGGGCTCAAAACGTGGTTCGAGTTATCGAGGGTAAAATTATATAGAAAATGACCCGAGGGGAAACGATAATTGGTTCGAGTTACCGAGGGTAAAATTACAGTGAATGTATGACGGAAATCCAGGGGAAATCGATTTTGGTTCGAGTTAGCGCGAGGTTCGAGTTAGCGAGGGTTCGAGTTATCGGGAGTCGACTGTATAGTGCTCACTGTTTTTCCCTGGAGTTTGAAAGTGAATGCCTCCAAAGAAGAAAAAAGAGCTTGTCCGTTTTCGTCCTCGACTCCAAGGCAAAAGAAGACGACAAAATCGTTTTGCCGCCAAAGAGTGGGCTTCGAAATTAGCAGAGAGCGACAAGAGCTCCTACTACAATCAAGAAAAATGGCTAAAAGATGACAAAGCTCCTGAAAAACCCATTGAAACTACCGTGGAATCGAGTTTCACGTGTTCGTTAGCGAGCGGAGCGAGCTTTCTAGCTAGGCCGCGAAGCAGCCAAGCGAGAGACGAAGTCACGAGAGGTCCCGCCATATAAAAATCGGATGAAGTACTGTTTTGAAAGTCTATTGTAGCGGAAAGAAGCTTCAAGAAAGACTCCAGGAAGCGGTTTGTTGTCGATTTTTCCAGGGAAGTGTTGAACTTTTAAAAAATGTATTGAGTAAAAGTGGGCTTGGCTCAACTTGGCTTGTCCGGTGCGAAAATGAAAACTGCCCGTTGCAAATACCTAATGAAGCTTTCTCTGCAACAGAAAGGCTCGAACAGAGCAGAGCCTTCGAAATAAATTGTTCATCTGTTGTCGGGTTTCGTTTTCAGCTTTTCCTGCTCTGTCACTATTGTTGTCCCTTCTCTGGCATTCATCAACATTGACAGCTTTGGTGTTATAATCTGTTATAATCTTATCGCGGGTAATACGCCGCCAAAAATCTTTTTCCAATGTTTTCTCGAAATGAAAATCAGGGCAAGTTGAGGGTACGTTTTAAACCCCAAGTCAGCAACCCGAGAACCAATTTGGCTGAAATTTGGCCAACTTACTTTCAGATAGTTTTTCTAAAAAACTGTGTCTGCGAATTTTGATTTCTTTTTTCGTTTTCGAGTTAGAGTATTTTTTTCCACAGGTAATGTTAATGACTTGCTATCCCTAACTTCACCTGCTTATAACAACAGAACAAGCGCACTTGACAAAAATCTGAGACACGGCTTTTTAGTCAAACGTGTTAAGAAGCGAATGTGTTCTTAACTGGCTTCTTCCGTTAAAGGAGAACTGAAGTAAAAAATCCTTCCATTTTTGCATTTTTTTTAGGAGGCTGTAGGTGTAAAAAATTGAGTTTTGCTCTTTCTTCTGGTTCGTTTATTATTTTTTGCTCAAAAAATCGGTTTGAAGTGTTGGTTTTCACTCCTTTTGGGCCCAATCATCGTGGGCTCATCTTTACTGTCAGCGGCATGTTATGACGTAAGGTATGGGGAAGGATCGCAATCGCATAGTAGCGCGTACTCATAGCATCAACCTTTGGATCTCCTCGCAATTGTTTGAGTAAAAAATATCGATTTAGCGTAATGAGCGGAGCTCAACCATTTCAGTTTGAACCCACGTATCCTCCTGGCCAAGAACCAATCGATCTGGAGGAAGTGAGTCAGGTGATACAAATCAACGAGATGCAAGAGGAAGAATCGGCAGCACCGAATGGTGTTTTTGTGAAGAGTGCGAGGCAATGGCAACGGAGGAAGAGTGTTTTTGTTGCCAAGAACTGGCGGAACTGAATCAAAAGTTCGATGAATCAGGTTTGTTTTTCTTTTAGGTTGCTTCTTTTCCTTCGATGTATATACTAAGAATACTGAGAAGGACATCGCGGTCAAAAGGATATTATTTGTTTTTGTCTGTCAGGAGTTGGATGTATTACGGAGCACGCCAAATTCAGGATTGTTTGCCTTGATACTGACGTGTTAAATACTGCTCTCGTGGCACTTCACAACATACGCTGTAATCCCGCTAAACTTTATTGTATCTTTTGTGTCCGTGTATTCATCATTTGCAGATAATCCACTAAACGTTGAAATAACATCCGCTCTTAAAAAAATCACTTTTAACCGATAGCCTACGAGCAGGCTCACTTGTGCGAACTCGGGAAAAATTATTTTGGCTGCGGAGCCGCCATCCAGCGAGAAAAGTGCAGACTCGTACTCAGTTGCCACTTATTTACTCCAGCAAAGGAATATGGAAAGGCAATTAGAAGTGCGCGCAAGCGCTTGGGGAGGAGGGAGGAAACGTGGCCAGTCACTGTGCGCTTTTCTTTCTTCCTTCCCTTGATACACCTCGAACTCATTAAATCCTTCCCATCAATCACAGCCCATACAGAGAAGCGACCGGGTAGGAGTCTGGGAAAAGTGACTTTTCCTTCACTTTTCTTCAATTCTTCAATCCATTCTCCTCGCGAGATGGCGTCTCCACCACCTAAAATTTTCCCCGAACTCGCACAAGTGAACCTGCTCGCAGGCTAATTTTTAAGTTCAGCATTGCATTTTGTAGTAGTTATGCGATGCAGAAAACTTTTATTAAGGGTTCTTCAATCTGGAACTGATGTAAACTCGCCGTTTAGCTGCTTTTGAAATTGGTTTACTTAGACTAATTCAGACGCTTTCCTTGTCAGACAATTTTTGACTTCCTTATTGGTACTTAGTTTAGGTTCACACTACACCGCCTGGAGTAGTCAATCAACAAAAATCGGTAGCAATCACGCGATTTTTATCGATTGACAACGGAAATCGGTGAAAATTGATAAACTAATTTGCTGTGTCAAATCGATATTATCGATTTTTCATGATTTTAACGATTTATAACGGAAGGCCGCCTTTTTTTTTTTTTTGGCATATAGATAGTACAGCTGAGAAAACACATCAGCTGACACATCTTCGAGCCAACAACTGATCAACAAACATGAAAATGAGAACTGTGGAAACTATCACACACAAATGTTTCTCTCTATCTCTGTTCGGTTTACAGTCGAACCTCCCCTAACGACCACCTCTCCACAACGGCCACTTATTTTGTCCTGGTAGACAGTCCTCTCTTGTTGTCGGTGTTGCCTTCGCTGTGCTAAGCGATGTTCCTTCTGCTCCGCGGTTTCTTGTTGACGTCTTCTCCTTCGTTGTTCACGCTTAATTTGAAGTCGGCGTTTCGTTCCAGAGGAGTTTAGGTGGAAAATCTTCCTGGGCGAGGACTTGGAGCCACTTTTTGTGCTTGTGTGTCATTTGCATAGGAAATTGTTCGTGATTCACCGATGGTAAACTTTCATTCACAGACCATGAATAAGCACATCAAAATGCGCCTTGGTCATCGGCGGCGAAGTCTATGTTGCCCGGAAACGCTGAATGCTCCATGATGTCATTGGCGGACACCAAGCATATATTCAGAGAAAGAAAGATTTATTTATGAAGCCTCGAATTTCGCAACTGGTTAAGACCACGCGCGGTTAGCAGACTGCGTGCGCGCTTCGCGCGCGACAACATCATAAAGTCGCTTCGCTCGGAATAATATTTGATATTTATTGATTGATTGATTTGTATTGCCCAAATATCAATCCAGGGAAAGAAATTTTCATCTGCGTATTACATTCTAAAATCCTAGTACATATTCCAATAAAAAAAATTCTAAAAACAATGACTAATTAGTCCTTAAAGTCTTATTTATAGATCGCTTCTAATAATTTGTAAAAAATAATAAGTCTAAAATTCTAAAAACAATGACTAATTATTCTTTAAAATCCTATTTACAATTCCTTCTTTATAAAAAGAATAAAAACAATAAATTAGCTGGGAAACGCCTTCTGAAATAAATGAGTTTTAAGAGCCTTCTTGAAAACATTAACTGAAGATATATTTCTAATAAAAAAGAGGAAGATCGTTCCATAATTTAGGGGCAGCCATATAAAAAGATCGATCATCAAGCGTGGAAAGAGACCTGTATGATGGAATGTTAAGAAGTTTGTCGTCATTTGATCTAAGATAGTACTCCCTGTGTCTTTCAGAGATACAAGTTCGGAAATGCAAGTCGGAGCGAGCTTATGAATGGCCTTAAAAGTTAACAATAAAATTTTAAAAACAATTCGATATGGTACGGATAACTAGTGTAGGGCTCTCAGCAATGGTGTAATATGACAAAATTTACTTTCTTCGAATACAAGACGTGCAGCAGAGTTCTGGACTCTTTGCAGTTTTTGAATCTGATACGCCGGTAAGCCGTACAAGAGGCTGTTACAGTTAATAGTCAAGGCGGCTAGAAATAAAGGCATGTATCAGACTTTCAGTACTTTCTTTGCTGAGATATTCCTTATTCTCCTGATATTGTACAAATAATAGAATGCTGCAGAGCTTGTTTTCATTGTGTGATCACCCATTGATAGGCTAGAATCCAACCACACACACAGATTCCGAACGGGAGATTGTGGAGCAATGACATCATACCATCAATTGTGATTTTAGCGAGTTGCTGTCTGGTGCCGATCAAAAGAAGTTCTGTTTTGGCATCATTCATGAGCAACTTGTCTTGAGACATCCACTGCCTGATGTCTTGAATGCAATGTTCGATAGAAGCAACTGCATCAACCTGGCCAGAGTGCGCTTTGGGACTAACCGAGATGTATAGCTGAGAGTCATCGGCATAAAAATGGACAGCTGGGAGGTGCTTTTCGACGACATCAAACAGTGCGCTTGCATAAACTGTAAAGAGAAGCGGGCCAAGACACGAGCATTGAGGAACACCATACCACAGGTCAAACTTATCAGATACAGTTCCCCGATCAGAGACTCGCTGGGAACGGCTGGACAAGTAAAATCGAAACCAGTCAAGGGCAGTGCCATTCAAACCAAGTTTTGACGATAATCTGTTAAGGAGAATGCTGTGATCAACGGTATCAAAGGTAGCTCTGAGATCAAGCAATAGAAGGATATTAACGTGCTGCTGGCTCATTTTTAACAGAATATCGTTCATTACTTTCAAAAGTGCTGTTTCAGTGCTTTGATCTCTTCTATAAGCAGACTGCGCAGCTGGGTATAAGTTATTACAAACTAGGTGACCATGAATCTGATTGAAAGCAGCCCTTTCAATGAGTTTAGACAGAAAAGACAAGTTGCTCAGGGAACAGATTAGTTCTTACAGATGACATCGAGATCGGGTTTCTTTAACAGTGGAAAACTAAAGCCTCTTTCCAAATTTCAGGACAACACCCAGACTGTAATGCGTTGTTTACGATTTTGGGAGAACTGGGAGATCCTCACATTTGCTAACCAGTGTGGATGGCATAGGGTCACAGAGGGCAGGATTTGAGGGCGGAGTTCTGGATAAGCTGTTTAACATCTCGAACTGATAGCATCGTAAAAGTAGGGAATGATGAAACAGTCTCATCAAGAACAGCAGACGCAGACAGAGTGTCATCTTCTGGAAGTCAATCAGTCTCATCAAGAACAGCAGATGGAGTGTCATCTTCCGGAAGTGAATCAGTCTGCTGAGCAGCAGACGGAGTGTCATCTTCTGGATATGAATCAGTCTGCTGATTGGTGTCAAGCTGCGTGCGGATAGTATCTATCTTCTGAACAAAGTATTT